CTGGTAATGCTCTTCCTGCTTCTGTCTTTAGATTTAATTCAGACGTTGGACTACACTACTGGGCTGCAGCAGAAGGCCAAGCAGGCAGAGCTGGCAGCCCTGGTGCACAGGGTGGCGGTCAGGGTGCCAGCCCACCTCCCTCGCCCCTGACCCCACCTGCATCTCCTTAGGAGGCAAGCAGCGGTGAAAATCCAGACGAAATTTAGTAATTGAGTACAAGGTTAAGGGCACTGGAGATCAGAACAAGTTGCCTAAGAGTAGTCGTGGAGCTGGAGCCACGCCACTACCTCTGACAGGACATGCAGCCAGCAGCAGGTTGGGCCGTGTCCCAACCCTACCCACCTTTTCCATTCGGCCCAGCCTCTCCCCAGACTGTTAGGCTGGTGGGAGAGAGCTTGGAGGGGTACCCCAGCAGCCACAGAGCAGGAACTTGGGAAATAGAAGGCTAAATCTGAGCACAAAGCAAGATTTGTTTTGTGAACTCAGCAGCTTGCTGGAATCTCCTGTTTCTCAAGTCACATTTCTCTCTGCCTTCGCATGAACAAAGGCACAAACCTTCAGCTCTGCACCCTTCCTTTTTTCACTTTTATTGTACAATGAAGAAAAATTGACTCAAGGCTAGTGGTAGAAGACAGCACAGTCTTTAACTGTTGCACCTCTCATCCTGCATTTCTCCAACTCCTTTGCTATCAGAACCTGTAGAAAGGGGCTAAGGGAGGGGAAGCCATTCTTTCCTTCCTCCTTTTTTTTTCCTTTCTCTTCTTCGAAAGGTCTGAATATTTTCAAATAACTATAGCGCTAACAAAAAAGAGCAGTAGATCCTGTTTTGAAACGCGAAAATTCACTATTATAAATGTGATGACAAGACACAAACGCAGATGTCTGAACAAGTTAGCAGGAAGAAGATCAGGGAGCACAGGACTGTTGTATGGTTCCTGCAGAGGAAGAATGGAGAAAGCAAAAGGTACAGGCTGCAGGGAGGGAGAGAACCAGATAGTCTGAGATTCATTTAATTGAAAATTGAATCCGGGTTCATTCATCATATATTTTTTATGAAACTGCAGAATGAAAAAGAAAAGGTTTCAATGAAACATGGTGCTTCCAGCTTGCTCAAGAATACCACAAAAGCCCTTATTCAGTTTCCCTTGAAGCCAAGGGAAACATGTCTTTTCTGGTTCAATTTTCAGCTCTTTGAAGCAGAAACTCACTCTTTTATGTGTCCCCACAGTTCCCACTGCAACAGGTCTCCTGTCTCAGCAGGGGCTTCTAAGTGCTACTGTAATAAAATTAATTAATCATGTTTTTAATGAACTTCTTAGTGTCTTCTGTATCATCCTTGACAAAGAATGTATGCAGACTGAAAAGGCACAGAAGTTTAATTTAGAACACGGTGAAGAGAACTTTAACCTGTAACAAAATCTAATTCAAAGCCAGTAAAAAAGCAGCTCATACTAAGTAGAGGCCGAAAGAGTACAAACAGCATAACAAATGAAAATCTAGACTTTACATCTTAGCATAAAAATTAAATATCAGCTGGGGGGATATCCACTAGCATGTTGGGATGTTATTTATGACTTTAAGAAGATGGAGATGTGGCTTCATCTGCGTGAAAACAAAAGAGCCACTCAGACGGATGTGTAAATCTTTTGGATGGGATTCCTCCCCACTCTTCTACAAAGTAGCACTTAACATTGACTTCTGCACTGCCATATAACCTCTGAGTCAGCTACTGAAATGAAAGGCCAGTTCACATCCCTCAGCAGCTCTGGTTTAGGCTACCAGTGGGTAGACACCTCTGTGTCGGTTTGCACTTCAATAAATGTTTTTAAGCCTTATTTTTCACAAGAGGAACAGAAATGAAAAATGAGATTCAATTGTATGTGTTGGCAGCCTGGGAGAAGTGCCAGTATGTCACAACCCCATGTACCAGCCCAGCCCCTTTGCTTTGTAAAGTACAATTGTTGTAAACTCACTTGGAGTCTGGCACACGTATCAGAGGCATACATATGTCTCTGCAAATATGCATATACAATATGCATAAATGATCCTGGATTTTTTAATTTTCTTTATTTTTTTCTGGTAAAGAGAGATTAAAAGCACTATTATGAATTATACTTCTCCCTCAGCCTGAGCTTTCTGCCTGGGATTATTTCTTCAGGCTCTGAGCAAAGATCAGGGACCCCAGAAAGGGCTCTTTTCCCCCAAGGGTGAGTTCCTAATGTGCTGTGCCTGTGAGGCTTCAGTACTTCCCATCCCTCTTTGTTAGGTACAGCCCAGCCCAAACACTTAAACTGGACTTGAATATCTCAAACTTGGAAGTATTAAATTCTTGGTATTTGGATGTTCTGACATCAGTTGAGCTGAATCTCTGTATTGCTCAATATCAAAGGACCACTAATCTATTTAAAATATACTGTTTTTATGGAGAGAGAGCTGACAGTTTTAAGTTACATACTATCTGTGGTAATTTGGAATGAGAAGAAATTAAATAATACAAATATTTGCCTTGTGTGATTTACAGTTATAAAGCACAATGAAAGTTACAGCATAGGAACAGATAACCTATTACCCCAGGACTTAAGCTTTTGTATCCGTGACATTAAGCAAGACATAACACTGAAGAGAAATTCTTGTATGTGGATGAATATTCTACAAATATTCCCTCAAAAACCTCAGCTATGTGATAAACCAGTGGGATTCATTAATTTAGCATGTATTTATAATTGCCTAACCACAATCCTCTCTCCAAGGACTAATACTAGTGTTTCAAACCTCTAAGCATCTTCAAGGGGTGTCTTTTTTTCTAATCATAACATGCCACAAATATATTTCCTTAGCTTTCATACATACAACATTTCTGTACCTACTGCATATAGGTATTATATGTAGGTCACTCTAAAAGTAATGCTTCCTATTTATTTCCACTGAAACTACAACAGATACAAAAAGCTGAATAACACTATGTGATAGAGCAAGTTCTCAGCTATAAAATGTCCTTTTTCAACGTAGTCACCACAGTTGCACCATGATGAACAAGTGCCTGCATGCTGCACTCATAAAAATCTGCATGAGAGGAGATGACTTACTGTCACCACTGCTGAAACACACCACCCACTGTGCTCACATCCACTGTTTGGTCCCCACAAACGTTCAGCAAGCTTCAATGTCACTGGATGCCACTGTTTCCACACTCAGAGGAACTGAGTGACACGCCTTTGCATCACTTGCACTTCCATGTCAGGCACCATTCTGTCACACTGCCCCTCTGCTGCCATCTGTCACATGGCAACAACATGGAACGGAATATTAAGAACCCCTCCTACCATTCCACTGACATCTGCTTTTGATTTCATGGGCCAAAATAATAAAATAGGAGGCACTGCCTTTAGAGCACCCTCATATTTATAGACAGACTGCAAGAGCATACAGATACTATATTGCCACTAACTTACAGTAAAAATCACTTTAAAATGTAAATGTTCTTACCCTGTCAATGCTAAGTACCACAGAGAAGTGCAAGACATAACTCAAATATAGAGGTGTGTACAATATCTATGGCATAGATAAATCATAAGATTTTAAATGAGGAGATACCACTGGATCAGCTGGTTTGACATCACTTAATCAATTTATACTTTAAGAGAGACCAGGACCTCACATTTAGCTCAGTAGTATGTCCCAGGAAGTATCTACTTCTTCATTTGACTGTTTTAGCAAAAATTTATACTCATTATACTATTCCACTCACATTTAATAAGCATAAAACAAAAGATGCAAAAAGCAATATTTTTTAAATCATAAAGAGTTATTTGCATGAATAACTCTAGTTTGCTTTTATTGTGCTGACAATTCCTATATACTTTTTCTAATAGGTGAATAAGCTGCATCATAAGCAACTATGAAGGAACACTCAAAAGAAAAGAGTTTTTGACGTTTTACCTAGATTTAACAGAAAGGTCATCCTGAAGGGTTTGGCTGGACAGGGAACAGGCAGTTACCCAGCCTGTTTGAATTTCACAAATGAAACAATTCCTAAATCAAGAATTATCTATGGAAATTACTCAACTAGTAAACAGAATAAAGATATTAAATTCATGTCATTTCAAACTAACTACAAATGACTGTCGACAACAACAACAAAAAAGATAAATTATAAATTGGTTTTCAAAAAACTGTTCTTGACAAGTATACTTTTTCCTTCAGAACAGAATGTGAACCACAACACTATTTAGAATCCATATCTTGGGAAATATCCAATGCCATGAATAACACAACAGATGATCAGCAAGCTCTCCTCGAAACCAAAACTCTCAGCATGCTCAAAGCCATAACTCAGACTAAAACCCAGAAGTCCTAGCCATGTAGGCCAGGAAACAACAACGGTAATTGCATTTATTATTTAAGGAAAGGGATAGCAAAATGATGAGTGTGTCTTGCAGCAGGTACCTGTAGCCCCAAGGGAGGAGGCAATGTGTCCTACAGCCCTCTGGCGCAAAGTCTTTTTATCTCAGTAAATGCACCACTTTGTATCACTGACATATGTGAGCAGTCTGGAAAAAGTCTTTTGGGGAAACAGTCACTGCAAGTCCTCCTGTTTTTCTGATAACTTAAATATTTTATTTTAGCTCCTAACTAAAATATATACATGATGAGCAAGATAAAGCAAATTCAGTCATCTCTCTTCTTTTTGGATAAGCAATCCCTGACTTAAAACACATGAGAGAAGCTAATCACCACTTCCCAGGATGGCTCTTCTTTAAAATGATGTCCTGTTAACATAATATTACATGTGCAGACAGTGATAGGACCAGAGGGAATGGCTTTAAACTAAAAAAGGGGACATTTAGATAGGATGTTAGGAGGAAATTATTTACTCAGAGGGTGGTGAGGCAGTGACACGGGCTGCCCAGAGAAGCTGTGGATGCCCCATCCCTGTAGGTGTTCAAGGCCAGGTTGGATGAGGCAGAGCAGCCTGATCTGGGGTGGCCACCCTGCCCACAACAGGGGCTTGGAACTTGATAATTATTAATGTCCCTTCTAACACAAGCCATTCTGTGATTCTGTGATAAATCTCCATTTTCTAGCAGAACTAGAACATGTAACTTGTACCATCTATCTACTTGTGTCTATTCCAGTCCTTTCACTACTAACTTATGACACCATTCGGGCAATTTCAACCTAATTTATAGAGTTAAGACTTCTGAATCATTAATCATTAGTCGGCAACTGTGTCAAATAGAGACAGTTACTTACATTCTGGTGGGAAGTCAGTTTCATCTCAACGTGTATTAATCCTGCAAGTCAGGAACCAGCCAAGCATCTCCGTGAGTCCATTTAGCAGATGGGCATGTTAGCTGCAAGAGACAAAGTGAGAAAGAGGATTAGAAGAGTATCAGGTACAAGTTCATAGGAAATCATATTCTAGTAGATTAGATAACTTATTTGTAAATTTCTTATGTAAGTCTCCCTTAGCAATTATTCTAAATTAATTTTGGCAGTGTTATGCCAATATTTTGTTCCTGTTCCTGCACTTTCTGCAAAAGTGCCTTCTAAATAATGCTCTGCAGCACCATAAGCACATTTTCTTATGTCTTGTTCTAGTCATATAATGAAGGTCAGTCCTCAGAAATGAAAGCAGAGAATTCAGTAGCTAGAGTTTCGTAGAAGTAAGAAAAAAGATAGGTACTGGCAGAAAGAGCTGTACAGAAGCTGTCCGTTGCTCCCCCTTCCAGCTTCTTCCAGTCTACCTGCCTTGTCACCACTGACAAGACTTGATAACATTTTATGTGCTGTCCTTCAACCCTTTTTTATATCAACCTCATGGTTAGTTTTGCTGGTTTGCCCTTAATTGGTACCATATTTCAACATATCCAAAGATGGTAACATATCATCAAGCAGTGAAATAAAACGACTGAATCTCCCTCCCCTATTTAACCAACAGCTTCATTTCTCTGGAGCACTTCTTCACTCAGAGCAAGAAGGAAGCCAAGGGTCCACGATGTGAATAAAAACTTGCCTTTTCTACTTCTTTAAATCTCATTTTTATTTTTGTAATTCTCCCTTTTCCTCAGGTTATTTAAGATGACAGCAGTCTCCTCTCATGTGCACTGCAGAACTAAAACTATTTTCAGAAGCAGCAGACTCGAGTGAGAAATAACATCTGTAAAACTTGTCCAGTTGGGTTACATGATCTGTGTAATACTTCAAGACATCTATTATTACAGACTTACTGGACTTCCTCACTCTCCTTGAACATTACCTGCTTGCTATCTTTTTTCTTGATAAGAACAGCAACGATATAACCTCAGGAGGATTTTTTCTCTCCCCCTTGAGATGTGTATCCTTATAGATTGTACTTTGTGATCCTCTCGACTCAGAAGTGTTCCCTGAGTAAATGCTATTGAATCTTGTAGCTACAATGCTACTCCCCTGCCATATGTATTTTCTGCACAGATCATGGCCCTTTTCTTGCTTCTGGCACAAAAGCATGCTGAGAATGAATGCATGGAAGGGCCATGATATCTCCCTTAGCACGTATTGTGTTCCCTTTCTTTTAGCCTGTGGAAGCTACAACAACCTCATCTGACAAAGGACAGAGAGAAAATGTGTTACAGAATAAAGTGACAATGCAGCAAATAGAACTCACATGTGAGAGGAAGGACGTATTGCAGCAGGAAGGCGACAGCTCTGTGTGAAGCCCGAGGTCAGTGTGCATGGCCATAAGGGCACCTGCTGGCTTTCTGACCCACCTACCAGAGACACTGAGAGGAACAGAGGAGGCAGAGGAATCTCCTTGTGTCTGGTTTCAGTGAACCAGCATGTGGGTGGAGATAAGCTGAGGAGGCTAAAGAGGCTAACTAGCCTAAATAACATTTCTGTGAGTCCTGTCAGGAAAAAGAACGCTCACAGCCAGTACATGTTGATCCTTTGAATTGCTAAACAGAAAACAAACTAAAAACACAAGTGGTTCTATCTCAGTTCAGTACATCCAAATTCATTTGCTTGTATTGCTATCACTTAGATGAATTTTTCTTCAAAAAATAAATCATAGTGTTAGGAAAAACTGTTAGCTCTGCAGCTGCAATAAAGCAATGAATGAGACAGGACAGAGCCCTTGCAGATGTTCAGAACACCTGCATTTTTATTTTATTTTTTTTTGCAAGACATTGTAAAACTAGTTAATAAAGAATATAAGAATGTTTCTGTCTAAAATGTATGTCACTTCAATACTTAGAGCTAACTTTTCATGAGTTAGATAAATACTTAGAGCTTAACAATTGTCATGAGTTTCATATAGTCTTCTGTCTACTGTTATAAGGCTGATGAGCCTTTTAATGCAAACTTTTCTCATTGGCACACTGATTTCTCAATCATTCTCCTTCTGGATAATTAAATGGTCGAAACTATTCCATCTCTGTTTAATCAACCAAAAGCACTTTATTAGAAACCACTCCCCTACCAAGAAGTTTCACCAAATCTAAAAAATGAGCTTTTGATGGGAATTTGTCCGGTTATTGGTGAAATTCCATTTTAATTCCTATTCTCCCTTCCCCACTTGAAGATGCTGGACTCTCCAGATTCTGGATCCCAGTACAGTCTAATGGAGAGATGTGGGAACGATGTTAGAAGCATAAATAGAGGAGCATCCTGCAGGACTAAAAAGAGGTGTCAGGCAGCCCTGAGCAGCAGACAGCTGAGGGAAGCCAGGCTGGGGCTTCTTGTAGCTCCCGAGTAAAGCTGTATTTTCAGGTATCAGTTGTTTGGCTTTTCTTTCCAGATATTTTTCAGGTCCTCAAAATGTTGAGCAGCTGCTCAGTGAAAGCCAGAATTCACAACGGTTTCTCCTGTCACAAACCCAAAGCAGAAGCAGGCAGAAATCACCTGGCACACTGCAGGGGAAGCAGATTCTGCTCCCATGGTCAGTTAAATGAGAGTAGCTTACTGTTTCCTGAATGGTAAGGAAGAACGAATATGAACTGTTACACTCTCAGATAAAAAATACTAGGTCATCCACTTTTGGTTTTCTTTTGTGATGCTTTCCTATGAGAGGGATGACTACAGCCTAAGGGGGAAAATCAGAATAATTTTACTAACAAGATATTCTGGTATTTGACGTATTAATTAAAAGGTAACAATGGTCACTAAAGCAAATGCACTTTCAATTATACGACTGTCCAAAATTACACCACTTTCTTAGATGCTTTTGTGTTGTAACTGTTACTGCTTATACATGTTAGATAAAATGAATAAAAGGAAAACTGGTTGGTGCATTTTAGAGCAGCCATTAAAATACCATTGAATTCTCTATAATCCTTTAGAAAACCAGAAAAATACCAGTAAAGTATATTTCATTAGTGGTTGGAGTGTTTAGGCGATCATGAGAGATGTTGTACAGATTCATAGCATAAATACACTGGGGACTCTTTAAAACTGAAACTTTTCTCTTGACTTCATATTGTTCTATATATTACAAAACTTTGTATATGTCAGTGTACAGGTTATTTTAAACGGGTTTCATCAGTTCAATATTTCTGTTTGTTAGTATTTAGCCACCACAGAATGGAAAAGAACAAAATATGGTTTAAGTATTACTGTCGACTAATAGGTACTAAAACCAACTTGCTAGGGGGGTCAAAGCAAACAAATCTTACCCTTTTCTCTCTATATATGATCAACATCTGAAATGCCACAGTTATTTGACCTCTTCGGAAACGCATAAAACAGCACCACCAGGAATCTTTGTTGGAGCTTATTATCTTGGGCACCTCAGGCAGACAGAAATGCAGCTATGTGTTTTAATTAGGCCACAACTTGATTAACTTTGCACACTGGGGATCCTCCCAGCACTGACCAGTGCAGTGCAGTGAGTGCTCCTTGTACTGGTCCCCTCCCAGCACCTGACCCAACCATGGGCTTCCCAGGGCTCAGCAGGGCTGCTGGGCAGGGAGGGACAGAGGGGCCTGCCTCTGCCCACCTGTACCCTGGCAGCCAGCAAGCCCTGGCCCCTTCACCTGCTGCATCTCAAGGTACTCCTCTAACACTGCTTTAAAGTCATGTATGCTGGGAAATCCCGCTCATCTAAGGGCTACCTTGCATAGATAAAGATCCTATACAGCAAGAGGAATATAACCTGATCTACAGCACATGCCATCACCCTAGGAAAAGAAAAAAGGAAGAAAACATAATCATTAGTCCCATTTATAAGATCACTACAGTTATCTTTGCTAGTATCACTTTCCAAAACCAGTGAAATAAATAAAATAAATACCAGTTTCTTGTTAAAGTTAATTAAAAATGCACTTGTTTTTGTTTTGTTTTGTGGGTAGGAAGAAATAGCAAAAGATGTAAAATCTCATTCTCTTCTAGGATCAGACCAGATGTGAGGTTTCCAAATATTGGTGGGGTAGCTTTGTTTTACCTTCAAGTGTTCCACTTTGATTTTTCTTCTGCTATTGCTTCTTCCTTTAACTGTTACAGATTTTTCATTTTTATCTCATTTAAAGTGATACTTGAAGTGCTAGATTTTGCAATGCTAAACCATATTTGATCTTGCAGGAGTGCTGCCTTCTGCCGCAGTGAAATTCTGAGAAAGTCAAGCTGCAGCCGTGAAATACTTCATGTCATCAGGAAGATGTCTTCTATCAGAATATCTGAGAAGAGTAATGCTCAGCATGTTCAAATCATCCTTTTATTTGACTGTTCAAACATAACTATAAAAGACTTATATTCAGCACTTCCATCTCATATAGCATCACCTTGGCATGGTAACAACAGTAAACAGAGTAATGATCCTCCTCCTGTGATCACAGAGCTCTGCCAAAGCCAACGATTTGAAATGACCATATGCATTCCAAATCAGCAGCTTTTCAAAAGACATAATAGCAACCAGCGCAGGAAGTCAAAACGTTCTTAGCTGCCCTGGCACATTCACAAAAAGAGCACGAGCACTTTGCAATTGATTTGAGACCACAAAATAAATACATTTTAATATTCTCTGATGTGTTTCACTCATGAGGTTTACTTTATCTTCCTTCATCGCTCCATTCAGACGTGGACAGCCCATATGTTGTGCCCACACTGTGACATTTGCTCTCTGAGACCATACCTTGTGTGTGCGTGCTGAGCCCCACCTACACAGACCCACACCTGTATTCTGACATGAGCTCTGCAGCTGCATTTCTTGGCAGAAGAGCTTTCCCTCTCATGCCCTCCCCTTTCTTTTGTGCAACCCTTCCTTTACAGCGATAGCTGCAGAATTTCAGAAGTAGCTGCAGAATCTTCTACAACAAATAATCTGTGCAACTATGCAACCTCCTTGAAAATGCCTGTCTTTTCCATTTCTTTTTCTTGAAGC